CAAAAAAAAAAAAAAAGAATGTGGCAAGGAAGCACCATCTATGAGGAACAGGCCTCACCAGACATCAAATCTGCTGGCACCTTGATCTTGAACTTCCCAGACTCCAGAACTGTGGGAAATAAATGTATGTTTTTTTGGTTTTTTTTACAAATCACCTAGTCTGAGGTGTTTTATTATAGCACCAGGAAAGGATTTCCTCTGACTTTCCTTATCTATCATCTCAAGCCTATGTCATTATCTTCAGGATAACCTTTCTGCCCACCTTCCTTCCTCTAGTCAAGCCTGACCTTCCAATGATCGTATCATTTCCTTATTTAAAATTCTTCAACAGGGCTGGGCTCACATTGGCACATGCCTGTGATTCCAGTGCTTTGGGAAGTTGAAGCAGAAGGTTAATTTGAGACCAGGAGTTTGAGACCAGTCTGGGCAATATAACAAGACCCTGTCTCTAAAAAAAAAAAATCTTTCTTTTAAAATTAGATGGGTGTGGTGGCTCACGCCTTCAGTCTTAGCTACTTGGAATGCTAAGTAGGAGTTATAGGAGGCAGGAGGATCACTTGAGCCCAGGAGTTTGAGGCTGCAATGAGCTATGATAGTACTACTGCACTCCAACCTGGGTGACAGAGTGAGATACTGTCTCTAAAAAACAACTTTAAAAGTGGCTGGGCACAGTGGCTCAGCCTGTAATCCCAGCACTTTGGGAGACCAAGGAAAGAGGATTACTTGAGCCTGGGGGTTCGAGACTAGCCTGAGAAACATGGTGAGACCTCGTCTCTACAATAAATAAAAAAATTAGCCGGGCATGGTAACACACGCCTGTAGTTTCAGCTGCTTTGGAAGGCTGAGGCAGAAGGATCGCCAGAGCCCAGGAGGTTGAGGCTGAGGTGGCCATGAGTGTGCCACTGCACTCCAGCCTGGGTGACAGAGTGGGACTCCAAAAAAAAAAATGTTTTTCAATGTCATCCTTTAACTTAGAGCTGACATGTACAATGGAGTTGGTGCTGCCTTTCAGAAGATGTTTTGAAATTTATGAGAGCATTTTTGGTTGTCTCAATAACTGTGGAGTGCTTGGCATTCAGTGGGTAGAGGGCAAAGATACTAGGCCTCCTGAAATGTACAGAACTCCCACACACAACAAAGAATTTCAGATGTCCTGCCAGATATTTGTGGGGCAGAAACCATGTTTATCGTATGTGAATCTAGAGTCTTCCTCCAGTTTACATAAAACACAAGGTGTTAGGGGTTTTTTTACTTTAAAAATTTACCTCTTTTTCTATCCACAACATAGTCTCAAATATTTTTAGAGGAGTCTCTCTTAAAATCATGATTTGTCATGGCCTTTGTCTAAGTTTCTTCATGACATTTACAATCACAAAGCATTTTTGCAAATGTAAACATTTGGTGTTTATCTAGTTTCTCTTCTGGTGTTTCCCTATAGATTCACTTTTCAATTATTCTGTGCTTATGGAATGGAATGTTTTCTGATTTTTTTTACTTCTCTTAAATGGAAAACTGATTCTGTATAACAGGTGGAAGTGTTAGTATTACCTCTTGGGAAATCAGACGAGAGCATTCACATGTTGACATGGTCTCTGTGTTAGCTCAAGTTGCCTTGCTTTTATTTCTCTTGTGTACTGCAGCCAGAATACTCTATTTTTTGTTAAATTATGTGTGCAGCCGATTACATTCACTATGAATTTCATTTCAGTATTAGTAAAAGAGTATAATAAAATTGATAAAAACAGTGGATGATGTCTGGTAGGTTGAGAACCACTGACCTTCTAAAATCCTTTGAAGGGGTTGGTATAGTAGCTCACGCCTATAATCCCAGTACTTCAGGAGTCTGAGGCAGGAGAATTATCTGAGGACAGGAGTGTAAGACCAGCTTGGGCAACATAGTGAGATCACTACAAAAACTTCAAAACTTAGCCAGGAGGCCGGGAGGCAGAGACGAAAGGTTTGGGAGGTAGAGACTAGAGGTTTGCCTGAGCCCAGGGGTTCAAGACCAACCTGGAGCAAGGGTAGTTGCATAATCAACATTTGTATACCTAACCCTGAATTGTATCCCACATCTTTAAAAAAAAGGGGGGGGGGAGAAACTTGGCAAGACCTCATCTCTACAATGAATCAAAAAATTAGCCAGGTGTGGCGGTGCATGCTTGTAGTCCCAGCTACTTGGGAGGCTGAAGCAGAAGGAGCACTTGAACTCAGAAGGTTGAGGCTGCAGTGAGCTATGATCATGCCACTGCTCTCCAGCTGGATGACAGAGCAAAACCTCATCCCATAATAAAATGAAATCCTTTGAATGACATCAAGGAGCTGGTAGAATCTATCTTTTTAATATCTGACCAGGCTCATCTTCCATCTCCTTCCTCCCAACCTTACGTTATGCTCAGGCAAAAATCTGGTGGTCCCTTAAGCATGATATGCCTATTCACAGCTTAGTGCCTACATTTTCCTGAAGTTCTTCTCAACCCCTTGCTCTTCCACATATGACCTGCTCTGATTCTTCAAAACCTTGCTTATATGCTACCTTCTGGATTCTTCTGTGTAAACTTAAGTGAGTCTTCCCTCACTACACCTTATAGAAAACAGCAACAGTAAGTAGTAGGTAGTAGCAATAGTAGTAGTCGCAGTAGCTGCAATGAACTGAACATAGGCTCTGTGGAAGGCACTGTGCTCCATATTTGACAGGCACTAGCTCACGGCAATCTAGGACACATAAACTCATTGTCCAATTTTGTTGAGATGAAGGAATTTGCCCGTGTTCTCAGGGTTGGTAAATGGGTCCAGTTGCATAGCTCTTGAACTTGAATTGCTAACAGGTCTGTCTCCAGGCACCTCCACTCTACGAAACATCAGTTTTTGTGGCTATTATCTGCGGGTGGCTTTGTCCCATCCCTGAACTGAACATCATGGAAGGCAGGAGTTCATTTCTGAACTCCCAGAGGCTGACACAGAGTAGAGTCACCTCTCAACACAGGAATAAGTCAATTCCCTAATCACTTATGGTCATAAATCACCCTTGGGAATTTTTTTAGTTTCCTATTGCTGCTATAACAAATTACCACAAACTTAGTGGCTAATACAATATAAGTTTATGATCTTACAGTTCTAGAGGTCAGAAGTTCTAAATGGTTTGTTTGTTTGTTTGTTTGAGTTGGAGTCTCACTCTATTGCCCATGTTGGATTGCAGTGGCATGCTCACGGACACTGCAGCCTCGACCTTCTGCCTCAGCCTTCCAAATAGCTGCAACCACAGGCACATGCCACCATAACCAGCTAATTTTTTGATTCACTGTAGAGATGAATTCTCGCCATTTCCCAGGCTGGTCTCGAACCCCTGGGCTCAGGCAATCCTCTTGCCTTCACCTCCCAAAGCACTGGGATTACAGGTGTGAGCCACTGTGCCCTGCCTCTAAATGGTTCTTACTGGGCTAAAATCAAGGTGTCAGCAGGGCTGAATTCCTTCTGGATACTCTAGGGAAGAATCTGTTAATTTGCCTTTTACAACTTCTAGAAGGACTCCTTGGCTTGTGGCTCCATTACCCCACACCATTACCCCAACTGGCAACGTTGAGTCAAGTCCTTCTCATGCTGTTGTCTCTCTGGTTATCTTTTCTGATTTTGTTTTCCCTTGTGATTACATTAGGCCCACCCAGTTCATCCGGTCAACTCCTTCTTAAACTCAGCTGCATCCAGGCATCTGCTTACTTTGAAGGTCAGATGACTAGCAACCTTAAATCAATCTGCAAACTTCATTGTCCTTTGTCATATAGCAACGTATTCATAGGTTTTGAGGGTTAGATATAAATGTCTTTGTGGGGGGCATTACTCAATCTACCACAGGAATCCCTTAAATTGCTCACGGGGGTGCAGGATACAAAGAAACAGCTTAGGATCATGGTTCCAATCATGGATCCTGGAGATCGATTATTTGGGTTCAAGTCCTAGATTCATCACCTGAGTTGTATTGCTTTGGGCAAACTACTTGACTTCTCTCTCCCTCAGCTTCACCATGTGTGAAATGGAGATGGTAACAAGAGTGATGACTTTGCAGGTTAGTAAACACTTAGAATGGTGCTTGGCATATAGTAGGTACAATACAGGTGTCTGTTAAGTATATGCAACTTTGTGGGCATATTGAACATTGGACAAGATTGTACTGTCTGGCTGAGCCTCAGACAAAATTTTTCGTTTGACTCTCACCCAGCTGTGAGAAATGCCTTGGAAATGGGGACTGACTCAGGTGTCTGGTTTTTCTCTCACTCCGGGACATGTACTTACTAAGAGGAAGAGGATGCTGAAACCGTCTGTACTACTGACACTGTATGTTCTTCTTGGTATTTTGCCAAGTGAGTGGTCAGAATAGTAAAAATCAACTGGAGTTGATGTGACTTGCTTATGAATATTTGTTGAAGTGAGTGCATGGATGGATGTGTTCTGTCTTCCCTGAAGATCTGTCTCCACCACACATCCCTCTGCATGGGTCCTCTTTCTTGGATGGCCCTGGGAGGCAGTTACAGAAAGAGGGAGAAGAGTGACGCCGGGATCTGGCCCCTGACACGCCTTTGCACTTCCTCAGGATACAGAAGACTCGTTCAGGACCATGGAGAGCAGCACCCAGCCTCCACACCCGGATACCCTGGAGGCGTTTCCTCAGAAGAGCTTGGAGCCAGGTGACATTGCAGTGCTGGTTCTGTACTTCCTCTTTGTCCTGGCTGTTGGACTATGGGTAAGCCAGGCAACTGAGGGGTGGGGGGTTGAGGAGAGAAGGAAGTGTCTATTCAGTCAACCCCATCATTTTGGAGATATGATACTGACTGAGAGAGGAAGACACTAGCTCAAGGCTATACAGCAATCAGAACTTTAAAATTTAAAATATGCATTAGTGTTACTATGTGTCAGATGCTGTGTTAAGCATTTTCACTTATGTTCTCGCATGTTATTCGCACAGGCCTCTATGAGAAAGATATCATTACTATGATTATTTTACAGATAAGGAAACAGAAGCTCAAAGAATTTAAGATCATCCTGTTAGTAAGTTAGGAGAACTGGGGCAAGAATTCCTATCTCCTTTACTTTGAAACCCATACTGTTTTTTTTTTTTTTAGTTGAATTCTCACTCTGTGGCCCAGGCTGAAGTGCAATGGCACGCTCATGGCCATTGTAACCTTGACCTGCTGGGGTCAGGCGATACTTCCACCTCAGCCTTCCAAGTAGCTGGAACTACAGGCATGTGCTACCACATTCAGCTAATTAGCTAATTTTTAAAATTTATTGTAGAGATGTGGTATCGGCCACGTTGCCCAGGCTAGTCTAGAACCCATGGGCTCAGGCAATCCTCTCACCTCCACCTTCCAAAGTGCTGGGATTATAGGAGTGAGCCACAGTGCCCAGCGTGAAACCCATACTCTTTTCTTTCTTTTTTTTTTGAGTTGGAATCTCACTCTGTTGTCCAGGCTGGAGTGCAATGGCATGCTCATGACCACTCCAGTGTTCACCTGCTGGGCTCAGGCGATCCTTCTGCTTCAGGCCTCCAAGTAGCCAGAACTACAGGCACGTGCTACCCCGCCTGGCTAATTTTCTGATTTATTGTAGAGATGAGGTCTCACCAAGTTGCCCAGGCTGTTCTTGAACCTGTGGGCTCAGGCAATCCCCTCACCTTGGCTTCCCAAAGTCCTGGGATTATAGGCTTGAACCATTGTGCCCGGTCTTTTTTTTTTTTTTAAAGGAAGTGTTGTTTTCCTTTTAGTTGGATGGAATCACACTCTGTTTCCCAGGCTGGAGTGCAGTGGCATGCTCATGGCCACCACAGCCTCGACCTGCTGGGCTCTGGCAATCCTTCCACCTCAGCCTTCCAAGTAGCTGAAACTACAGGTGTGCACCCAGCTACTCTTTCTATTTATTGTAGAGACAAGGTCTCGCCAAGCTGCCCAGGTTAGTCTCGAACTCCTGCACCCTGGCAATCCTCTTGCCTCCACATACCAAAGTACTGGGATTATAGGCATGAACCACTGCACCAGGCTTCAAGAAAGTTTGTAAAGGGAATACACCCACATGGTTCAAAAATAAAAATAACTTATACAGTCAAAAGTTTCACTACTACCCTTCCCGTCACAGGTAACTGCTATTATTAACTTTTTAGTACATTAGTGGGTTCTTCCAGTATCTCTATGTAAATTCAAGCAAATATTAATATGTGTATTCATATTTTTCTTAAATAACTTATTATACATACTGTTTTTTGACTTGCTATGTTTCACTTACCAGTATGTTTTAGATATCTATGCCTCATCTTTAAAGTTACACAGTATTCCATTAGGTTGATTGTACTGTAATTTATTTAACCAATCTCCTGCTGAGATTCATTTGAATTGTTTCCCATATCCTACTGAAACAAATGATGTTGTAATAAATAAGCCTTGTACACTCATTATTTTGGAGTGATACAGGACACGATCCCTGTAGTAGACTTGTCAGGTTAAAGACTATATGCATTTGTAATTATCCTAGTTTGTGTCAAGTTGCCCTCCTTAGATGTACACATCAGTAATGATAAGAAAATCTGTTTTGTCACATCCTCACTAACAGTAGATTGTCAAACTTTTTTTTTTTTTTGAGTTGAAGTCTCACTCTGTTGACCAGGCTGGAGTGCGGCGGCACGCTCATGGCCACTGCAACCTCTACCTGCTGGGCTCAGGTGATCCTTCTGCCTCAGTCTTCCAAGTAGCTGGAAGTACAGATACATGCCACCACACCCAGATAATTTTTTTGATTTATCGTAGAGATGAGGTCTCTCCAAGTTGCTCAGGCTGGTCTCAAAACCGTGAGCTCAGGTAATCCTCTCACCTCAGCCTCCCAAAGTGCTGGGATTATAAGTATGGGCCACTGCACCCAACCTCAAACATTTTTATTTTTAGCAAACTGATGGGGGAAAATAAGTTGATAATATGTGTTTATCTTATAATGAATGAGGCTGGGAACCCTTACATATGTTTAAGGACCACTTATGGTTCCCTTATGTAAAGTATGGTTTGTATCTTTTGCCTATTTTTATTAGGTTCTTGCCTTTTTTTTTTTTTTTTTGA